CAGCCTACTTTGTTTGCAATCCTATTTGCTATTAATTGGCAGCGTTAATGACATTAATTGCATATAGCATATTGGTATGAGCAAAGTTATTAATATCTTTCTGTCTCAGAAGAGGAAAGTCTCAGTAGGAAGTATGAAATGTTACCCATTATTTCACGGGGAAAACAAAAACAGTGAGGTATGTGCACCCCCAGCCCCCAGAAGGGACATTTACTTTCCTCACAGCCTTAACTGAACTTGAAAAGAACGTAAGAGAAGTGCTTAGCTGCAAGATTTAATTATTATTACATGGACAGTTTTATTTTTAATATAACATTGGACTTAACCTATAGCTTACATCAATAGAAAATAGGGAGATATTCAGATATATATTCTTTTAAAAAGCTTCTATTGTACTATGCTTATTTCCTTCATAAATAGGAATGGCAGAATTGTCAGGATTAAGGAAATACTTTTGTTAAGTAGATACATAATTGACTAAACTCTAAAAATTCTGTAAAAATCATATATCTGAGAATAAATCATACATAATCCAGTCTTTAAAGATACTAAATGTGTATAGCATTAACTATTACTACCAAATTGTAGAGACTCTAACTCATGCAGCTAAAAATTAACATTTAGTTCTTAAGAAGTATTAGTGTTTTATAAAGAATTCACATATTACTTTTACTCTTGTAGGTAGAAAAATAATTTATTAGAGCATTGTGCAAGGCTTTTAATAATTATTTTTTTATCTAACATGCACATGAACACTTTGCAAAATCAGAAGTTTATAATTGATTTCCTTCCTTTTTACCCCCTTTTCCTTTCCCTCTTCCTCTTTTTCCTCCCTCCCTCCCTCCTTCCCTCCCTTCCTTCCTTCCTTCCTTCCTTCTTCCTTCTTCCCTGGTTCTGTTGGTAATAAGTGTGTTTACTGGGATGGCCCTAGTAATCTCTCTAGCATAGGCCTATTTGTGTGCCATTTTGGGAATTTCTCTGAGATAGGAATCTCGAAGATAGAATTAATTTCTAGGAGAAACTTCATAGCTTGTGCATGAGTGCGTTCTTTATCACCTGTCTCCATTTGGCATTCGAAGAAGGTAAATCAAAGTGTGTGATTTGTTATTCTGCTCCACTTGAGAGCTGAACTAAATAACACTTGGTCTGAAATTCTGATTGAAGTTGTAGGAGGATATACTGTATTTAATTTAATGCCCTTTAATAGCATCTTCTTGTTCAGCTTGGATGCTGTCATTTTAAAGGTTGGATCTGAGAAGGTTTAACCTGTAGGTAGAGGGAGGAGTAATAATGGGATAGGGGGCAGAGGAGCACTATAGAGGAAAGGAAGGAAGGAGTTATAAACTCAGTGTTTCAAACAGTCATAACCACAAACTTGGCCTGTTATCCAAACAGTTGTTTTATGCCCCAAGGGTTCACTTTGTTATCAGGATTTTAAATGCTCTTAACACTTTAAGCGTAAACATTACACGTGTAAGTTGATTTGGTTTTGTAATGAGAAATGGGAAGTCAGATGGTTTGTTCAGGAGGGGTTGTTCTTCATAGTTACTTGCTTTAGCTAAGTAGAGTCATTCCACCTTTATTTGTACTTGTGCCTAGAACTTGCTGATTAATAGTATTATTTCTCTGTAACTGTTGAGTACAAATATGTTTATAAAAGATGACTTTCTTTGGCATGTTTTAAATTGTATCCTCCCATTTATTTAAAAAGTGGTTTCCAAATCATTAATTTCACAAAGGCATTTATGGACTCTATATTCTTACTGCTTTTCAAATACACCTGTAATAAAAAATGTATAGAGTTTAAAAATATATATCTTTTGAATTGTCTTATTTATGAAATGTCTGATCAGTGTAATAATCCAGTACAAAAGTCATTTTCTTATAATGATGTTTACAAAGTAAATTTTGGAAAAAGAAGCTTGATAATGACTTTGGGTTCTATTTAGTACTCCTTAAATTTCTCTGAATCATACATACAGAAAGTGCCTCTTCACAGCCTGAAAGAACAAGTTGAAAACCTTGTGTATGTAAACTTGTTTGATTTTCTTTAAACTCCAATAGACTGCAAATTATATAGCACTGCCACAGAGTTTTTTCACTATGTGGATGTACAACCAAGAAAATTAGACTGAGAGAAGTGTCAAGCATGTGATACACCCATGCTGGTTTGCAAAGCATGTTCCAGTAGCACAGAGCTTTTGGTTTAAAAAGTAAAGGTGGTGGTGGAGACTTTTTTACAGGTATTTCCTTCTATAGTGTAAGTTTAAGGAGAATGATAAATGATGATGTGTGTTGTCTAACACTTGCTTATATATATAAATAGCTCCACAAGATTGCTTAAATGATAATAGAAAATATGAAATGAGATGGCCTTCATATCACAAGGCCAAGGGTCTACAAATGGAAAAACTGAAATAATGAAATATTTCCAAGGCAACAGACTGTCAACAAGAACTGTAATGCATGGCATATCGTAGATCCACCAGAGAGGATATTAGATAGGATAGCACCAGAGCCACCAGTTATAATGACCTTTATTGCATAGGACCCTCCCACACTGCAACATCCTCTCAGATTTCCAATTTCTGGTTTATGAATTGAGAATCATATAGGTATTTCTCGTGTGCAATATGCCAACCACTAGATTTGATTTGTTACAGTGAACAAACTTGAATTCAACATTATTTGATGTTTTAGGTTTTTTTTAAAAAAGTTATGTGAGCTATTTTCAGTGTCTAGTTACCATGAGTAAAGTTTTGGTCCCTGTGTCTATATATTAAAAATATAACTTTTATTTTTGACTAAAAGTTATGCATAGTTAGTATTTCTCTCCACAATGAATTGATAAGAATTTCTTTGCACTTTAACTATAATCCACAAATGGGAAAAGTTTGGTAATTATAAGGATATGAATCTTGAATTTCTCCCTGCAATTCTTATATATAATGATTGCCCCCATAATAGAGCATTTATGGGAATGCCAGAACTTCCATGAACCCCTTGACTCTTTTTCGCTGCTGCCCCAGATCTTAGTCTGGGATCCACTGGCATGTTAAAATTGCATCCATTTGAAATGGGACCTGCTCTGTGGTGAGGTTTTCTGTGACAGGATATATTTATATATATATATTGCTTTTGTAAAGCCACACTTTTGGGGAAGGATTTAGGCAGTCTATCTCTTATTTAGTTGTTTTAAGCTGTAGAGTTTCACATTTTGGTATATTTATGGGGGATATATCTTAAAAGTTTCTGAATCATTCCTAGTAATACTTTTCCTTATAAACTTCCTCAAGTGCTTTACTATTAATAATGACCCCAATGTAAACCTTAGTCTTTTGGGGGGTTTCTGCAATTCTTGTGATCCTTTTTCTTATGCAGAATGCTTTTAAATTTAAAGAAAATTAAGCACACGTAGAGCCACCCTCCCACACACACTGTTTACATGTTCACTTTTTCTACATTGTATCACTTATTATTTTAATTGATTTTTAAAAAGTTCTGCATTGCAATTGCTTTAGAATCTAACTTCAGGTATTTTATAGACGTGTCTTTAATTGCTTAGGAAGAATAAGGCTGAAACTCAGTGAGGAAGTTAGTATGTTGAAAATTTTAGTTGATTGGTTGATTAAATATTACTCTTTAAGTTTAAATGCTACCGAAGTTGCACATAATGGAATATGTGAGACTTTAAATCTGTGATTAGGTAGGAACTTCTAGAATTTATGGGAAAATTCAGTTGTTTGCGTTTACTGATGTTAGTATTTTCACAGCAAACAGTGGCTCCCCCCCGCCCCAATTGGGCAGTGTAATAAACCAACTGTAACTGAATGGTATTTTTACTGCGCTGGGCCTCATTAGTGTGAACAGAATGTTTGCACTATTAAGTTTGATACAACCTTATAGTTAGAATAATTTGTAGTAATATTAGTAATACTACAGTGCCTAAATAGGACATGGCTTAGTAAGAATTAAGTGATGGCTACCGTATCTGAAATGACTAGGACAAGGACAAGATTAAACAACACTTGAAGTTGTTGTGTGCATACATCTGTAAAGCATAATGTTTTGGTGAATTAATTGGAATATCTGTGGCCTTGTATACAAAATCATGAGAAGCAAGTGAAAATTTCATGTTGCTATAGCCCAAAGTACTCCTGGCTCTAGACTGTAATTATTGATTGGTTCTTTCATTCAACTGTATTTATTGAACTTCTACCATGGACCATAGTGACTTGTGCCAGGGACAGAACTGAATAATACACCTTGTAAGAGAGTTGCTTTGGTTATAGACTTGCTCTTATATTGGACATGCAAAACACCCTTTTCTAAGAGTAAGAAGTGCAGAATTCATAGAAATATAGGACTCTATATTTTTGACTTCTGTTATCTTAGCGTTCTTGTAGAAAAGCATTTAACTTGTAAAATATAATAATGACTATAAAATTATTAGAGATTATTGGAGGAAAGAAAGAAAAGAGGCTGCATAAATATAAGTGAAATAGCAAATTCTAGGGAAGATGTTTTGATGGGATTTAAAAATAAAAATAGGTTACATATGGTAATGATAATAAACACTTATTGGACACTGCCATGTTTCAAACCCTGTATGAAATACTTCACAGTAATTTTCATATTAGTTTTCTCACTGCCGTATGAGGGAAGTGCTAATATTCTTAATGATGGATGAGAAAATAGAGGCTTAGCATTCCCAAGGAAGGTGGTAGAGTTAGAGCCTGAATTCAGGCTTATCTCTGAGGTGGACTTAGGCAATGTAGTCTCTGTAGAAAGATACCTTTACACCAGTTTGGAAGGGCCTGTAGTTTTGGACTTTCCAAAATCAGAGGTTTCTGAGCTGATGGCCAGAGAGTTCTATTGGTAGAAAGACTGGGTGGACAGTAAACTATATCTATTCCATTTTGGTCCTTCATCAGATGTTCAGAAATACGGTGTTTATAAAGTTAGAGGAAGAATCAAAATTTAAGGTGTTCTAACCTTACCTTTTAACATTCCAATAGTTTTGTGGACAAGCTCCACAGCTATATATACTTTAGGGCCGATTTTTAACTGAATGGTTTCTGAGGAATCAGTTTGCCACATACATATGCCTCTTTGGTCATAGCATATGAAATACTCAGGACCTCTTCCACTCATATAATCCATGCCTCGGAGTGTGCCACAGTTTGTCTAAAGATTACAGTTGAGGCATTTTTATTATGTTATAGTTTTGCCACTGACTGGATAGAAACAGCTTCATAGGGCTTTCAGAATAACAAACTTCAGTACCTCACCATATTTCTGGATATTGTCTTTTGAAATATGTAAGGACTTGTACAAGTTGGCCTCCTGCCAAATTATCTGGCATCATAATAATGATGGCAAGCATTTACATATCACTTATGTGCTAATAAACAGGTACTGTTCTAAGGGCTTTACATATATTTACTCAATTAATTAAAAACATACCATGTTAAAAATGGACTACTAGGGCCGGCCCGGTGGCGCACTGCTACAGTGCACCACTTGGGAAGCGCGGCAGCGCTCCCGCTGAGGGTTCAGATCCCACATACAGACCGGCCGCTCACTGGCTGAGCAAGGTGCGGGGGCAACACCGAGGGTTGCGATCCCGTTGCCGGTCCCGGTCCGGTACGGGCGCGACACTGAGGGTTGCGATCC